GGATTTGGCCATAGAGTAACCAAGAAATATACACGGTTGGGATTTTGGTTGAAGTTTAGATGTAACATACAGTTTGAGCCATGGGTAGCACAGACACCCAAACGTTTTGAGTTTGGTATAGTTTGGAGTCATACGGTAGAGTATGTGATAGGGAGATTTTGATTGGAGAATCGGTGTGGGTAGGCGATTGATAAGGTAAACCGCCGTTTGAAAGGCATGAGACCAAAATGTGAGTGGTAGACCGGCATAATGCAAGAGTGCAAGGCCGGTTTCCACAATGTGACGATGTCGCCTCTCCGCGATCCCATTTTGTTCGGGTGTGTGCGAAGGAGTTGTGAAGTGGGAGATGCCCATGGATTGTAAGAATGGTAGAAGACCCACGTATTCACCACCGTTGTTGGTGAAAATGGAGATAATCGGGGTTTGGAAAAAAAATTCCACAAATAGTTTATATTGAGGAAAAATAGTTGAGACATCAGACTTGCGTTTGAGGGGATAAAGCCACACATATTTGGAATAGTAGTCAACAAACACAACATAATATGTGAACCCGTCAATGGATTGTTGAACGGGTCCCYAAACGTCCGAGTAAATAAGTTCTAAYGGTTTAGTGGCCACAAATGAATTTGGTCCAAATGGCAACTTGTGACATTTATTCATAGAACAAGATTGACAATGAAAGGTAGAACTTGACAAGGACTTAAAGTTAAGACCGAGGTCTTTACAAAGAAGTTTAAAAATACGAAATGACGGATGTCCAAGCCGATGATGCCATTGGAGAGGCGAGGTTGAGGTGATTGCATTCACTTGAGGAGATGAGGGTGAAGAGTAGAGGTAGTACACATCATTGATGTTCTCCCCCCGCATGATAGACGCCCCCGTGTTGAGATCCTTTACAACGAAATGAAGAGGAAAGAATTCAACGGAAACGTGATTAGTACGACACAGTTTTGCAACAGAAATGAGATTAGTACGCATGCTAGGAACACATAGAACATCACGTAAAGATAATGATTTAGTTTTATTGAAAAAACTAGTAGAACCAAGATGTGTGATGGTTAAACCAGTACCATCACCAAGGCGGATTTCATCGGGACCTCCGTAGTCGGAGACGGAGGTGAGAGTAGCCGGACAGGAGGAGAGATGGTGGGAAGCACCGCTGTCCATCATCCACATTGAGTTTGCTGGAGCAGACGTGGCTAGGTTAGCAATCGGGTTGGACGGGTTGTTTGTTAACATGACTTGATTGTCTTTGAGAAACTTAACAAGTTTTCGACAATCACGGGTCTCATGACCGGGTATGTTGCAAAAGTTGCAGAATTGAGCCGAACGGGCAGGGTTGGAACTTGGTTGAGACTTGGTGAAACGATTTTGTCGCTGGGACGAAGAGGGTTGGAAATGAGTGTTTCGGTTGGACAGATCAGAGGCGGAACGAAAAGAGTTGCGAGCCGGCTGCCGTTGGGTAGTATTGGCTGTTGCAATGATGGAGGGAATAGGCTCAGCAGCTGCCAAGGAACGTTCAAAGTCCACTAGCTTGTCAAAGAGATCCAGGTACGTGAGCGGGGTGTCACGAACCTTGAACGCGGCAGTGAGAGATGCATATTCATTTCCCAATTGAGAGAGAATATGAACCATAAGATCCTCGTCACTGATCGGATTTTGAACGAGCGCTAGCTCGTCAGCGATCGAGCGCTCTTCATTGAGGAACGTAGCAACAGGCTTGGTTCCTTTAGGATTTTTGGTGAGTTTGGTTTTTAGAGAGATGATGCGGGATCGAGAAGTGCTCGCAAAGGAGGCTGATAGGCGATCCCAGGCATCCTTAGCAGTGGATGCGGATGCGATAAGTGGCTGGATTTCATCAGAACAGGAGCCTAAGATAGCGCTATAGATGCTCTGGTCTTGGCGAGCCCATAGGGCATAGGCCGGGTTGGGTTTGGAATCGGCAAGAGTTCTGTCTGGCGCTGGGGTGTCACCAATGATGTAGCCAGCAAGATCAAGGCCGACCAGCGAGGATTGAACGTGGCGTCTCCATACGGGGAAGTTCTAGGTAGTGAGTTTGATGTTGAAGTGAGTGGAGGCGGTAATGGTGATGATGGTGGAAGCCATGGATGAATAGGGTAAAGGATGAACAAGGATCGATGGAGGAAACTCGTGAGAGTGTTTCTAGGCTCTGATACCATGAAAATGTAATTGGAAAAGTAATCTTTCAATATCATTTACATAACTATATATACAAAGGAGATGCACAATTACAGGAGATAAATAAGGTAAATTACAACAATCATTGACTAAACTATAATTGGAATATATGCTGAATTAATGATAATGGCTAACTAATTATGTATAATATTATTATTGCTAATATGAAGTATATTGGATAATTTAAAGGTTTTGTTAGGGGAGTAAAGTTTTGAGGAGCCAATGTGAAATATGGGTATAGAGTTACCGTTACCAACAAATAAAGAATCGTTACCAAAGTAGGCCTCGGAGTTGTCAAGGCTAGATAGATCTGGAGTGGCATGGTGATTTGCGCCAGTGTCGGGCTTCCATATAGATCCTGATTGCGAACCAGCATCAGAGTAAATAGCATAGTTGGCCTGTGGCGCTGCACGGGATTGGTTAGGCTGGTTAGGACACTGAGAGGGTAGGTGACCAATTCCACAGCGATTACAATGACCATACACCATGTTTTGAGTAGAAGCCCAAGAGAATTGACGTGTGCCATTACTATCACGATTACAAGAGTTGAATGCAGGTCGTGAGTTACCACGTGAAGATCCACGAGAACCGTGACCACCACGGTTGTTATTGAAAGACCGGGATCCAAAATAAGCATGTGGTCGTGATGAAGTTGCAGGGTTCAGTTGATATCCCAATTGGGAAGCCATGAGTTGAAGATTATGAAGTTGTTGTTGAATGAAGTCGAAATTGGGCTGCTGTAGTGGTGTAGAGGCAGCCGTAAGATGCTGCTGAGCAGGAGAGGCAGTCGCAAAGAGAGCCTGGGGAACTTGCGGATTTGTTGCCAAGATCCTTGTAATCATATAATCATGGTCACTTAATAAACCATGCAATTCATTGAAGTTGACAGGAGGGGAGCGATCCAAGAGGTTTGCTTTGAGACCATTGTATTCTTCACGAAGCCCTGTTAAGGTTAGCATAACCAGATCTTTGTCTTTCAATGGTTCGCCTATATTGGCTAGAGCAGTTGCATATTCTTGTGCTCTACTGAAGTATTCGGCAGGTTTTTCATCACCCTTCATGATGATTCGAAGTAATTGATTTTTAAGAGTAAATTCATGGGATGAACTAACCGGAGCATACGCTTGTTCTAAAGACAGCCATATCTCTCGAGATGTTCTGCCCTGAATATGTTGAAAGGACTCTTCTGACACAGTAGAGATGATGAGGATACAGATGTGAGCGTCGTTGGAGACCCATGGTTGGTACTTGGATTATCAGTTGTAGCAGATCCGTTTGTAACCTTCGATTCTGGACAAGGAATAGTGCCATCAATGTAGCCAAAAAGATTGTGAGAAGTAAGAAAAGATTCGACCATTGACCGTCAATAGCCATAGTTCGTGGGTTTTAGGGTGAAGGCAAACTTGTGAGAATTATGGGTTGTTTTCTCTTGATTAGTGAGAGTTATGATTGCGGCCATAGTAGCTTGGAAGAGGTGACGGCTGGAAGAATGCCGCTGGAGGTTTGTGACAGTTGGAGGAGTTGCCGGGGGTTGCATCGGTTGTCTGAAGGTCGTCGGAGGTTGGGAATGGTGCCGCCGGAAGTTACGTCGGTCAGGCTGGAGGTTTTGTCGGCTGAATTGAAGCCAGAAAAAGAAGGGATTTGATTGGCTCTGATACCAAATCAAACCTTGAATTTATTAATTTTATTGTGTATTTAAAAGACATAATACGTGCCCTATATATAGAACAGATAATTACACTTTAATATCCTAAGCAGTTACACTTTAATACCCTCAACAATAAGGTTATTTAACTTAGTCTAACACTACGTACTTCTATATCAAAAAAGCATATTTGTAAACTGATTCGATAAATCTATGAAGGTTCTGAAATGAAATAAGTGGCGCGTAGGAAGGGCTCATGCAACTGCAGCAGGATTTGGAAAAAGAATTGATAGCGAGGTGGAAAGGTTTGAATATTGTAGGGCTTGGAAACGATTTTAAGTTTTTCTTTTAAGTTAAAATCTTTTTTAACGAGTACTTTTTTGTGTTAAAAAAGTATGTATGTAACCAATTTTTAAAAGTCGGGTAATTTATTTATTTATGAAAAATGTTTAGAGACTTAATCATTAGTTCAGAAACTTAATCATTTAAAATAAAAAATTTATTTAGATTTTTTGAAATTATCTCATTATTTTATGATACCACTTTAAAAACTTCCTGAATTTGTCTCAACGTTTGTAGTTCACGATGATGATGGTTGATGAAGATGAAAATGAAGGATGAGTCGAGGAAGGCAACCAATTTAGGGACTGTTTGACAGTTGTTGAATAATTTAGTGCAAAATGATTAAAAGGCTTTCATGATATAGTGCAAAATAAAATACAATTGTTTGGTAATTATTTACAATGAAACTAGGAATGTTGAATGAGTAAGGGAAGCCTAAGATATAAAATCATTCAGAGGATTTTAGAACGATTAAGAGGCAGAGTTTTTTTTTTTTTTTTTTTTTTGTTAAACAAGATTCATCTCTTAACGATTTAGATGTTGCCTCTTAATGGAACTATTAAGAGGTAAACAAACCATAACTATAATATCCTTAAAAATTGCATAGGATGGAGAATTAACAGAAAATAACGGTATTAGTTTTAGGGATCAAATTGTTAAAAAACTCAACCATTTTGGATTATTGATAAAATAACATAAGTTCATGGACTATACATGCATATAATGAATACTTGAGGGACTAAATTTGTAATTTAGTCTTTATTTTATCATGGTTGACTCTGAAATCTCCAACAAGTAGATTAAAAATACACGAAGAGAAAAAGAGTGGAACCCTTGCGAAGAGATCCAACACAGAAACAACATCTGACCAATCGCCGTTACATCCAATTCCTCTGCCGGCGATCCTGATGCGGCCCTCCGTCCGATCTTCCTTCTCTTGCTCCGTCGTTGCAGCACTCTTTGCCTCTTTTGTTTTCATTTCATCGCCGGTGTTCGCCTCTGAGTATGATCACAAGGTTATGTTACGCCTCAACCCCAATTTTTTTATTTCGGCACTGAATATTAGATATCTAAGATCTTTAATTTAGAATGTTATGGGTTTTTAATTAATTGTTGGATTCATGTACGGGCATTTTGTTCATTGCGTCAGGAAATCTAGCTCCGGAAATGAGATTTGTATTGGATTAGGGTTTAGATCTCTCATAAAATTTGTTTTTCTTTCTGACATTGCGTTAGGGTTCACTGATATTGTGCAGGGACGGCAAAATGGTCTTGTAGTAGGAAATGTTAGCTGTAAGTTAATGTGAAATCAGATCTGTGATCATGGTAATACTAACGATAATGGCAAACGATTTAATACAGGGTACTAACTATGTGGACTGTAGGTGTAGGGGGATATTATGCCCTAGAAGAAAAGTTGACAATTGACATGACATATGCATTTAACAGCATCCATAATTGGGATGGAGGTTCTTATCCGGTATATAAATAAGAATGAGGGTTCTTATAAATAAGAATGAGGGTTCTTATAAATAGGAACTAGGCTTCTTATAAATAAGAACTAGGCTTCTTATAGAAGTGTGTTACTATGGGTAACCTTTTGTACTTTCATATTTTTTTTTTTAGCATTGTACCATCAAATTATTTTTTATTATAATATTGTACTTTGAAAATTCTACCCATTACATCAATGGGTAGCCGTTTGACATTGCACAAGTTAGGAAGTCGTTATGCCAAGTCATTGTCTACGTGGGATGTCCACCTTATGCATTTCCTCCATGTGGTTTCATCATTCATGCCTTTTACGAACAAGGCCCTAATTCTAGAAATTATGACTAAGATCCTCATGGTTTCCTTATCCTCGACTACTGTTAAAAAACTACGTAAAGTCAAGGGTGTTCTAGTCATTTTGGCCATTTCTTTAACTTTTTGTTCTACAACTTTAGATGCCATTTTGTACAAGTGTATAAAGCATCTAATAACAAAAATAAAAGTAAAACAAAACATATCATCGCCGGTACCCCATTTCCGGCCACTCCTCTACTCCGGCCATCTTCTCTAGCCAAAAATACACTCCCATAGCCCGACCACCACATGAGAACACACGCACACGAGAGCACACAAATCTGTGAATCGAGAATGCAAAAACCAGCCAACGGAAACATATAAAAAGCCATCAAGACTCTGAATTCATCAAAATTGGGTTTGGGGTTCTTAGACATCAAATTCAATCTATATAACCATCAGGATGGAGAATCCATCAAAATCAAAACCCATCAAATCGGTGTACCCATTGGGACGATAAATGGGAGGTGGTAGTTGCCGAGATTTGGTTCGATGGCTTTTGCCAGGATGGTGCTTACAACCAAGATCTGGAGAAGGTGGAGGACAAGATGAAGAAGACAACGGGGGAGGAGGCTGGAATAGTGGTATCCGTTGAGATTTGGTTTGATGGGTTTAAGTTTAACCAGGATGGTGGTTATTGTCGAGATCTGGAGAAGGGGGAAGACGAGATGAAGAAGACGAAGGACGAGGAGGCTTGAGATGATGGTGGCCGATAATGGGGCAAGGGGTGGTGGCAGTTCTATTCATCACCAGTTGTTTCGTTGTCATGGGGTATTAGGGTGGATGTTTCTTTCTTTTGCAGGTTCTATATATAAAACTACATTATATAGATATAATATAGTTGTTAAAAGCTCCCGAGGCGCACCTAGGCTCTGAGGCTCATAAGGCTCAAGGTCTTGGGCTTTTTTGAAGTCGGAGCTAGACGTATTCACGAGACTCGCTAAGGCGTTGCACCTTGGTTGAAGCGCCTTGTGAGCCTAGGTGCGCCTCAGAAAGAGTTATTAAATACCTAGTCAAACCCTAATATTAAATAAGTTCTCTCATCTTCTCATAGACTTCTTAAAAAAGAGTTGTTAAATAGATGAGATAAGTCAAATCCTAATATTAAATACCCAGTCCTTAGAAGTTCAAGCCTCCTTTTCTATAAATATTAAATACCCTGATCTTAAAACTTTTCCTTCATGGCTCATGCTTTAAACCCTTCTTCTTTTGCCTCTAATGAAGTATTGCTGGTTGGTGCAACATTCTTGAGGCCCAAGACTCACGGCCGCATCTCGCGCCTAGGCTCTGGCACCCCTTTACGCCTAAGTGCACCTTGAGCCTTTAACAACTTTGGATATAACATGTATATATCTTATTAATGTATAAATTAATCAATTATATTATTTTTGGTTAAAGTCCTTTTTATAAAAACCATGAAATCATAGGGACGAAAAATATAATCAACTCTTACTCAAATGTTATTTAATGCCATGTAAGCAAAGCCTAGATGTCTTCCACGTCATTTCAATTGACACGTAAAAGCGGGGGAAACCGATTGAGAAGGTAATAGATCACTCATTGCTACAATGGGTAAAAAAAATTCAAAGTACAATGTCTTAATAAAAAATAATTTGATAGTACAATGTTGTAATAAAGAAATTTATAGAAGTAGGTTGTTATTTCGTGCATTTTGCCCTTCTTATAGATAATAACGAGAGTTCTTGTTTCAATTCTTGTTTTTTATTGTTTTTATCATATTATTTTATTTTAATAAATAAGTAACACATATTTATAGAATATATAAATTAAATTGGTACATAATATATAAATTAAAATTGATATAAAATTATAAAAAATATTTTATTAATTTTGTTTCTTGTAGTTTTAAAACAAGGTTTTTGTATTTTGTTTTAGTAAGTTTAATTATTAAATAAGTAAATTGATATATTTAATCATTCATAAATAAATAAATAACTTTTTTAATTATGGTGTAAAATTATGTTTATGTTTTAATTTTTTTCAAATATATTAGCAAAATATATAAATTACTAAACTAAAATCAATGTGTAAATGTGAAAATTGGTAAATTATATTTTGAATTTTGTTTTAATAGTTTTATAATATATATATATATATATATATATACACATATATATATATATATTAAATTTATATAATTTTCTATAATAAAAACAAATAAGATATATTTTGTAAATAAAGAATGGAAAGTGAGGTTCTTATAAGAACCTACATTGTAGAGTTTTATTGAGTTTCTATACTGTTGAGGTGGCAATGATTTAGCAGGAAAAAGTACAAAAAGCAGGTTCTTGTAAGAACCTCCTAAAATGCCTCTTCATAAAACAAAATTGAGAAAACTTTTTGACCAAAATCAATGTAACCAAGGGAGTCAATTACCATGATATTTAGGATCTGGGATTACCCAAGATAAAATGTTGCATTTTCTTAGGCCAGAGGAAGTATATATTACTTAAGGGAGTTGATCATCGTGATAGTGAGAATCTGGGGTAAAGGATTGAAATTGCACTTGAGTCTGTATGATCTCTTTTGTTGCAAAATACTAGAAAATGAAAAGTGGCTGAGTGGTGATTACTGATCTCAGATGTGCATGTCAGGGACGGACCCAGATATTTTTTCAAACGGTGGCACCATTTGACTATAAGAAAAAAAAATAGGGAAAAGCCACTGTTTGACTATAAGAAACAAATATACAGAATTGTTTTTCAAATGGTGGCACCATTTGACTAAGAAAATGACACTAACAGCATTCGGATTTGGGTCTGGGGTGGAATAAAAGCCTTGCAAACCAACTCTATCAAATGAAACTTGTTCTCATTGTAGTTTCAAAATACATACGGTGGCACACAACAAATTAATACGGTTGCACTTTTCACTAACCTAAAATTGTTTACCCTTCGATGGAGGAATAATTGGGTGGCATGTGCCATCGTAACCACCATACTAGGTCCTTCCCTGGTGCATGTGACATGAATGGAAAAGGAAAAATAGCCATCAGCCAGAACGTGATTATATAAACCTTATCACCTGCTAGGATGCAAATGCAATGTCTTAGTTATTCAAGGATTCATGCATTGTATTATGATTCTTGGATTCTTGCACTTGATCTTATTTTATTTGTTTAAACTACCTGGCCCAGTTGCATGAGGATTGTGAGCTGTTTGACTTGGAATATATTTGTAAATATATATTGATCCAAGGAATAGGGATGAGATTAGTACCGGACCGGTACCAAACAGGGACCGAACCGGTTGGTACCGAAATTTTTTGGGACTGAAAACGAGGACCGAAAACCGAACCGTATGTACAAATTCAGTTCGGTTTCGGTTTCGGGACGGGAAATTCGGGACTGGGACCACTTAGGACAAAAATTTGAAGCGGGTAAAGGAACAATCAAAACCAATTGCAAAAGTTCAACAATCAAAAGTACTTAATCTTCGGTATTCTTTTTTCCTTTTCCTTTTCCTTTTCCATTTTGTTCGTTTATTGCCTCTTTAATATCTATATATAAAACTTGAGTTTCATCCGTGGAGGAGCCGACTTTTTTTATGGTGTTAGGCCGATTTCTTGATGGTGTGATAGTGATACTACCGATATTTTGATGGTGATATCGTAGGGCCAATTTTTTCTGATGGTGATACCAATTTTTTGATCAAAGTAGTGGCCTCGGAGAAGGTATGGATTATTTTAGGAGAAGATATGGATTAGTTTAGGAAATAGAGATGATTAGCTTAGGAGATAGGGATGGAATTGGAATAGCCATATGACTATTGGATTACCCGGTTCGGTTCAGGTATTTTCAGGAAATTCTCGGTACCGAATACCAATTTTGAAGTATTATTGGGACCGAAAACCCAACCGATTACATGCATTTGGTTTCGGTACGGTCCCGGTTCGGTTTGGGAAAACGGTCCTTTAATCTCATCCCTACCAAAGAACACACATGTTTTTCATGGATCATGAGCCTTCTTCCTGTCATGATGATCATGTTATACTGTGATACACATAAGATCATATATTAGCAATTGGACATACTTGATTATTATACCAAATTACCAATTCAAACAAAAGAAGCTCCAGCTACGATGCGCACACATATATACAATATCTATTCTTAAACTCAGAACACCGTTAATACCAGATGACCAATTGCTTGAGCGTCTGCAAGAGTTTGACTTTGCAGAATGATTGTTAAGCTAACACGTCTGCGCGCTTAAACAATGTCATTTACCTATTTTTGATCGGAATTAAACATATATTTCTTGGAAAGAGATTCTTCGTTGCTTAACTAATTAAAATTAAACAGAGATCCTTTTGGGGGACCATAATCAATGCATCTTATGGTTTGTCCATTAATTACTAAAATATGTCACTATTGCATATTAAACATACTACAGGGATTGGACTGGCACCCCTAAACCTATTATGAAATGCTAGAAGCCTTTTATGTTTTGAGTTTTTTTTCTTTCTAAAGAAATAGTTAACAGATTATTGTACTCTGCAATCTGAAAAAATTAATTTTAATCTTGAATAAGTATGACCATATGTTAATGGTTGTACTTTCTTTCCAAGCACTGGGTGTAAGGGGTTATTTTATTCGTAGTAGTTAGTTTATTTGATTGACCTTCTGGTCCAAAAGAATCCACATAGTTTAGTCATGGGTTATGACTTATGTATAATGTAAATAGTTTGAATTCTTGCTTAAGTGCATATTTTTATATTCCTATGAGGCTATGATTCTGTTCATCCTTTGTTTTGAGTTTTGACATCTTTATGGTTTACTTTTGCAGTATCAATCAGATGACAGAGTCACCCTTTGGGTGAATAAAGTTGGGCCTTACAACAATCCACAAGAAACATACAATTTCTACAGTCTTCCGTTTTGTCGTAAAGCTGGTCATGCTGCACACAAATGGGGTGGTCTGGGTGAAGTATTGGGTGGAAATGAGCTTATTGATAGCCAAATAGATATCAAGTTTGCAAGTACGTAGGTTGCCTTATATATTCTTGTATGATCACATCTTTAAATGGTTTCATGACATGTGTTCTCTCTGCAGAGAATGTGGAAAAGACTATTGTTTGTGAATTGGAACTTGATGAACCGAAAGCCATGCAGTTTAGACAGGCTATTGAGAATAACTACTGGTTTGAATTATTCATGGGTATGCATTGTTTTTTCCCTATCATGTTAATATGAGACTTCACGTCTTTGCTTTGCCTGATAAGGTATTCATTCACCCTGATGCACATGAAATGCTTAAAGCTGTTTTATGAGTAAAGTCCTTTAAATTTGATTTCTGATAGTTGTAGTTAGTGATGAATGGTCTGCGCCTCTATAAAAGAACAAGACACACCTTGCAATTGCAATATAAAATTGTCATATTGGCATTTGTCAGTTATTAAATGTATGACTGCATTCATAATGTTATATCGAAATTAAAACCGTTCAAAGTGCATTTGAGCATCACTGTTTGTTGAGTTAACAAATATTATTGTATCCTAAGCTCATTAAACTTATAGTCATAAAGTGGCAGGCAACACATACGATCTTCTGGTAAGTTAAGAATTCCACTTGAATTAGTAATAGTTAGTTAATTGCATCTCCTATCCTATGATTTTCTGCAAATGTTTTACTCCACTATCATATCAGTAACTAATGAAGCATTGTTAGATTAGGAAATACTATGAAAGCAAAGGCATGACTTGGAAAAGAGGAGAAAAAAACTAGATACAGGCATGCAGCCTTGTCATTCATGGTTGGTTCCTTCTCTTTTCTTTTCTTGCTTAGTTGTTGATTATTTTGGACTTGTGAACTTATTGGAGATGTTATTTATACACATCATACTTTTTAAGCCAAACGAGCTTTAGAATATCTGAATGTGCAAAGCTGATTTTTATTTTTCTTCATGTATGTTACTTTGGTGATCTCTTTAGCTTGAAGGTCTTTATTTACACGATATGATTCAATTTATATTTTTCTAGTTGCATGTTTTTGATTTTCACATGTGTTCCTTCTGATCTTATCTTCTTTTCTCATTGATGCGCTGAATACAAACTCAGATGATCTGCCGCTGTGGGGTATGCATTCATCAAGCTCTCTTGAATATACTTTTTAGTGTCTGTTTGTCCTTTCAGCTGTAATGCCAATTTTTGTTTCAACATGTCACTATTATTGGTCTTATAGGTTTCGTGGGTGAGCTACATTCTGATAGGAATAGTAATAGCAAGAATATGCTATTCACGCATATGAATATCACCATACAATACAACAAAGATCAGGTTTGCAACATTTTATTTTGTTTGTTAACTGGTGTAATGGCTTTCATAATCACCTACTTCATACCGGTTTCCTATTATTGCAGATCATTCATGTTAATCTCAGTCAAGAAAACCCAAAACCATTGGAAGTTGGTAGGACCCTAGACATGACATATTCAGTCAAGTGGACTGAAACTAACATCACTTTTGCTCGCCGTTTTGATGTTTACTTGGATTACCATTTTTTTGAGCATCAGGTGAATGCTAACTTGTGTATTTTTTTTGGAACTTGCTTTTCTTATGATTGAGTTATAGGCGTTGCAGTTTCTTGTTTTTCTTGTTATGGACAAATTCAGCTTTTTCTCAAGCTTGGCTTGTTTTACTTGAGATCTGCTTATTTGAAATTTGCTTGCTTCACTGATCACTCTGTTAGGAGATTCCCTTTGTATATTCTATATGAGATCAATTTGATTAAAATGTCATTCACGAGATTACAATGTTTCTATCTCATCGTGCAGATTCATTGGTTCTCCATATTCAACTCATTTATGATGGTCATCTTTCTCACTGGGCTGGTTTCAATGATACTGATGCGAACTCTTAGAAATGACTATGCCAAATATGCCAGAGAAGATGATGACCTGGAAACTCTGGTAATGATGCTATGACGTAACTAGTTCAATTTAGTAATCCAGTCACCAGGTATTGAAATATTTATTTCCAGGAAAGAGATGTCGGTGAAGAATCTGGTTGGAAACTTGTTCATGGGGATGTTTTCCGGCCACCTCGCAATTTGGTTTTGCTTTCGGCAGTTGTTGGGACGGGTGCGCAATTGGCACTATTGATTCTTCTTGTCATCTTACTCGCAATTGTTGGAATGTTGTATGTCGGGTAAGTAACAGTTGTCATGTTGACTGAGTGAAGCATATAGGTCTTAGATAAAGCTTAGTGAACTATTTGTTGCAATTAGGTGTAATTTACCACCACTGACCACTAGTAATGTCTTTTTGAATGATCCTCTGCACTCTTTGTGCAGTTGATCTATAACAATGGCATGTGCATTGAAAGCCATGTTATTGATAGTGTTTCCACCTCTATAAGTATTCCTACACAACAGAAAAGAAGTTTAAGTTTAAGTAGATCCTGACATCGTAATTTTATTTTATCAGGTTCAGTTGAAACTTCAATTTGCTAATTTGTTTTTGTAGGCGAGGAGCAATTGTGACAACGTTTATAGTCTGCTATGCTCTCACATCTTTTGTCTCTGGCTATGTTAGTGGTGGGATGTACTCACGCAATGGTGGTATGTACCTTATACAACTGGTTTTATTTTGTTATCAAGTCTCTTCTGTAACTTTTTGGTCTTCTACATTATCTGATTGTGACCTGCTTCTTTTCTTTCAGGGAAAACCTGGATAAAGTCGATGATCCTCACGGCGTCACTCTTTCCCTTTTTGTGCTTTGGGATTGGTTTTGTTCTTAATACCATTGCCATATTCTATGGGTCTCTAGCAGCTATTCCTTTTGGCACAATGGTGGTTGTTTTCGTCATTTGGGCTTTCATCTCTTTCCCTCTCGCTCTTCTTGGTACAGTGGTTGGAAGGAACTGGAGTGGTGCTCCTAACAACCCTTGTCGTGTGAAGACCATTCCTCGCCCAATTCCAGAGAAAAAGTGGTATCTCACACCGTCTGTAGTTTCACTAATGGGAGGACTGCTACCTTTTGGCAGTATTTTTATTGAGATGTACTTTGTCTTCACATCCTTTTGGAATTACAAGGTATCCTCTATCTTCCAACTTACTGTAGGTAGCTGTGATGAAATGCTTTTCTATTTACTCGTCCTAATAGTTTGCCTCACTTTATAACAAATTAACAATGATTAAATAACCATTCCAATAGCAATTATATCTTTTCTATTATGTTTGCTTGTCCTGATAACTTGTTCTATTGTTTACTTCATTAGCCTATTTGATTGACATACATAAATTTGTGTGTGGTAATGTCACAGAGTATTTAGTGTGGGGTTCCATGAAACAAAGAATTTCACGTTCATGAATATATATATATATATGTATATATATGTATATGTGTGTGTGTGTGTATAGATGGGTCTATAGAGAGAGGAAAGATCTGGGGAAACCTCATATATATATGTATATTCCTTCTGGAATATGGTTTAATGCATCTGGTCAGATATTCATATGATTAAAAATATAGATAATTGTCTCTTAGTTTTATACCATATATATGTATTGGTTAAGCTAAATAAAGCAGTTGGATATTGTTGCACTGGCTGCCTGGACCTGTATCTTAATTAAACGGTCTCTCTCATGTGAACTGATGCATGAATAGTTTGAACCTATACTAACTCTCTCGGTTCCTTTTGTTTATTTGACAGGTGTATTATGTCTATGGTTTTATGCTACTTGTATTTCTGATTCTTATCATAGTGACGGTTTGTGTCACGATTGTGGGAACATATTTCTTGCTAAATGCGGAGAATTATTACTGGCAATGGACTTCATTCTTCTCTGCAGCATCTACAGCTGTTTACGTGTACTTGTATTCAATATATTACTACTATGTGAAGACCAAGATGTCTGGCTTCTTCCAAACCAGCTTCTACTTTGGATACACAGCAATGTTCTGCCTTGGATTAGGAATTCTCTGCGGTCAGTTCAACTCTTCTTTGTGTTTCCTTATTCCATTCCAAACATTAAAAAAATCATTTAATATATCCAAGTGTCCTTCACTTTTGATCTCGACACAAAAGCCAAGTAGGAAGAATTTATCATTATAATCTGAAGTTTGAGTTGATCAAATGAGTGTTGTATAATTTTCATGTTTGTTTGTTTGTTTCTGATGAAAAAATAAAAATGCAGGAGCGGTTGGTCATCTGGGGTCTAACATGTTTGTTAGAAGGATCTACCGGAACATCAAGTGCGACTAAGCAAGTAGGAAGAACAGCAGCCACACTGACCCTTGTAGTTAAGTGGGAGGAAGGGTATGGGATTTAGTAGTATATGTAAGTGGAGATGATCGGGGGGAGGCTTGATAAATTTTCCCTTCCGTTCGTTCGATGGGGTGTAGAAGAAACGTAGATGAGTTGTATTATTATACAGAAAACGAATAGAGGCTTTACTACTACTACTACTTTGGTTCCACACATACATGTCTTCTTTTCATGTTGCCATTTCTCTTTGCTGCTGGTTCAAAAGGCTCCTCTCCATCAGGTTCCATTGTTGTTATGCTATAACGACTTATGTATTTTGATGCTTTTTAAAGTTGTAAATTGCTTCAGTTTTGATCATTTTCTGCAATTGGAAAAGGGGGTTAGACTTCCAGGTTACTAGCTGAGATGAGAGTTTGATTTTTAGTTTTGTTTCTGTTTATATCCAATTACTCCGACGAGGATTATGTCGTACTAAGGGCTGTTTACGAAATGTTTACCAGCAAGAGTCATCACTCTCTTTAACCTTATTGGGTGATATTCTCAGCCATTAAAATTGATTGTTGGTAAACGTCTCTGACCCTGTAAGTGCTAAGGGGTTTATTTAACAGATAAACCTAGTCTAAAGCCAACAATTAACTTAGACCTACCCTAGTATAGATACACGGCCATATCGCATTGCGATCAATGCACTACACTAGGCCTATAATCTTGTTTTCATACATTTCAAACTTTAACACCACCTCTAATCAATAAGAGCTGAAATAAGACTTTAGAACATCTTTAAAAATAAGGAGCACCTTAATATGCATATTTTAAGCAAAATACCCTTGTAAATATGAATCGCCTTTGGGAGTAGTATTACGTATGTTAAGAAACTTTGGTATCTTTATAGTCATGCCACACCATTATCACACACTTAAAGGTTGTTTACCAAACGTTGAGCATGACAAGAATCTTACCTAATAAGTAAAGAAGACATCTATTGGATTGGTGCTTATCGGGTATGAGGCGCTTACCGACAATCTATTTTAATGATTGGGAATATTACCCAACAAGGCTAAATCAGAGTATCTACCCTTGTTGGTAACATTCGGTAAACGGCGTGTAATATTTGATTCGAGGAGTAATTGGATATCAGGAACAAAACCCAACTCAAATCAAGCTTGATGAAATGCACACATAATAATAAATGGCTAATAATTTCAAAATTTAAAGCATCAAGATACAAGAAGGGATTTGGTTGTTTACCTGATAATGAAAAGACCAAATTAAACACAATGAATACAATTGAACCTGTTTATATATGTCTGTTTTGCACACACTTCACAACCACAAAAATCCATTCCCCCACTCCACCACTTTCCTCCTTCCAACACAAATTAATAAAAAGAAAACAGTAACTCCAGGGGGAAATCTGGATGCTTACAAGAAGATGCAGAAATTGAAATAAAAAGGCCATGTATGGAATGGAATATATAGCCTTTTTCCTCATCTACCTTTCTTCTTCTTCTATATCCAAGGAAAGGAAAGGAAGGCAAAATTATCCCCCAGTCGTACGTATACTAATCACTCACCCTCCGACCCTTCACCCTTCCGCTTGGTGTTCGCACTTAGCTACACAGTGGCTGCTGTGCTTCCTACTTGCTTAGTCGCACTTGATGTTTCGGTAGATCCTTCTAACAAACATATTAGACCCCAGATGACCAACCGCTCCTGCAAAACAACATGAAATAATTTATTATACAACACTCATTTGATCAACTGAAAGTTCAGTTTATAACGATAAATTCATCCAGGAAAAAGAAGTAGCTAAAGGTACCATTTGATTTGTGGAAAATAAATTAAATAATGTTTTTATGTTTTGGAACGAAATGGGGAAACAGAAACAAGAGCTGAACTGACCACAGAGAATTCCTAATCCAAGGCAGAACATTGCTGTGTATCCAAAGTAGAAGCTGGTTTGGAAGAAGCCAGACATCTTGGTCTTCACATAGTAGTAATATATTGAATACAAGTACACGTAAACAGCTGTAGACGCTGCAGAGAAGAATGAAGTCCATTGCCAGTAATAGTTCTCCGCATTTAGCAAGAAATATGTTCCCACAATCGTCACACAAACTGTCACTATGATAAGAATCAGAAATACAAGTAGCATAAAACCGTAGACATAATACACCTGTCAAATAAACAAAAGGAACCTGGAGAGTTAGTATAGGTTCAAACTATTCATGCATCAGTTCACATGAGAGAGACCGTTTAATGAAGATACAGGTCCAGGCACCAAGTGCAACAATATCCAACTGCTTTATTTAGCTGATTGAACATACATATCGCATAAAACCAAAGAGACAATTTTCTCTATTTTAATCATATGAATATGTAACCAGATGCAGTAGCAAATGGATTAAACCATATTCCGAAATGAATGTATGCGTATATATACATGTATATATATGTATGCATATGCATATGTATGTATATGAGGTTCCCCCTGGATCTTTCCTCTCTCAATAGATCCATACACACACATATATGTATATGAATATATATACATATATATTCATGAACTGCGAAATTCTTCGTTTATGGAACCCACAGTAGATACGCCCTGTGAGAGTACCACACAAATTTATGTACGTCAATCATAGGCTAATGTGTTGTGCACACGAACAAGTGAACATAACAGAAAAGGCAAGTAAACAATAGAACAAGTTATTAGGAGAAGTAAACACAATAGAAATGATAAGTAAACAATATAACAAGTTATTAGGACAAGTAAACATAATAGAAAAGATATAATTGCTATTGGAATGGTTATTTAATCATTGTCATAAAGCAAGGCAAACTATTAGGACGAGTAAATAGAAAGCATTTCATTAAAGCTATCTAGAGTAAGTCAGAAGATAGATAATACCTTGTAATTCCAAAAGGATGTGAAGACAAAGTACATCTCAATAAAAATACTGCCAAAAGGTAGCAGTCCTCCCATTAGTGAAACTACAGATGGTGTGAGGTACCACTTTTTCTCTGGAATTGGGCGAGGAATGGTCTTCACACGACAAGGGTTGTTAGGAGCACCACTCCAGTTCCTTCCAACCACTGTACCAAGAAGAGCGAGAGGGAAAGAGATGAAAGCCCAGATGACGAAAACCACCACCATTGTGCCAAACGGAATAGCTGCTAGAGACCCATAGAATATGGCAATGGTGTTAAGAATGAAACCGATCCCAAAGCACAAAAAGGGAAAGAGTGATGCCGTGAGGATCATCGACTTTATCCAGGTTTTCCCTGGAAGAAGAAGCAAGTCATAATCAGAAAATTTAGAAGATAAAGAAGTTACATAAGAGACTTTGATAACAAAGTACACCACTTAAATTAGGTACATACCGCCATTGCGCGAGTACATTCCACCACTCACATAGCCAGAAATAAAAGATGTGAAAGCATAGCAGACTATAAACGTTGTTACAATTGCTCCTCGCCTACAAAACAAATTAGCAAAGTTGAACTTTCGACCAAAACTTGATAAATTAAAATAAATATGTCAGCAACGATTCATACTTCAACTTCTTTTCTGGTTTCCTAGGAATGCTAAGAGATGTGAGCCAAAAAAAACCCATCCATAACATGGCTTTTCAAATGCACTCCTCAAAATCACTTGATAACAACTGACTGTAGAACAGATCAGTGAAATTGATATTTATAGATCCACTGCACTAACGATGCAGAGTATCACTGTGACAAAATGACATTACTGGCGGACGGTGATCGTAAAGTACACCTAATTTCAACAAATAGTCCACTAAGCTTTATCTATTCCCTATATGCTTTACTTGGGTAACATGACTACTGCTACTGTGTTACATACCCGACATACAACATTCCAACAATCGCGAACAAGATAACGAGAAGAATCAATAGTGCCAATTGGGCACCCGTTCCGACAACTGCAGACAGCAAAACCAAATTGCGAGGTGGCCGGAAAACATCCCCATGAACAAGTTTCCAACCAGATTCTTCACTGACATCTCTTTCCTGAAAATAAAATAATTCAATACCTGGTGACTGGATTACTAAAATGAACTAGTTACTTCATAGTGTCATTACCAGAGTTTCCAGGTCATCATCTTCTCTGGCATATTTGGCATAGTCATTCCTAAGAGTTCGCATCAGTATCATTGAAACCAGCCCAGTGAGAAAGATAACCATCATAAATGAATTGAATATGGAGAACCAATGAATCTGCATGATGAGATAGGAACCTTATAACCTCTTAATGGAATGTTTTTATCAAATTTATCTCATTTAGTGATATAGCAAATAAAAAGTGCATCCCCTAAGTCAGGAGTGAAGCAAGCAAAATTTTAAACCACGTAAATCTCAAATAAAACAAACCAAGCTAGTGACAAACCTTAATTTGCCTAGAGAGACAAGAAATTGCAATGTCTAAAACTTAATCATACAAAAAGCAAGTCCCAAAAAATACACAAGTTAGCATTCACCTGATGCTCAAAAAAATGGTAATCCAAGTAAACATCAAATCGGCGAGCAAATGTGATATTGGTTTCAGTCCACTTGACTGAATATGTCATGTCGAGTGTTCTACCTACTTCCAATGGTTTTGGGTTTTCTTGACTGAGATTAACATGAATGATCTGCAATAATAGAAAACCAGTATGTAGTAGGTGATTGTAAAACTCATCAAACCAGTTAACATACAAATGAAAATGTTGAAACCTGATCTTTGTTGTATTGTATAGTGATGTTCATATGTGTGAATAGCATATGCTTGCTATCGCTGTTCCTATCAGAATGTAGCTCGCCCACAAAACCTATAAGACCAGTAATAGTGATAAGCTAAAATAAACATTTGGCATTACAGCTGAAAAGACAAAAGACACTAAAAAGTAAATACAAGAGAGCTTGACGAATACATACCCCATAGCGGCAGATCATCTGAGTTTTGTATTCCACGTCAACAAACAAAAGAAAATAAGATCAGAAGGAAGACACGTAAAAAATCTAATACTTGTAAATACTCATGAAAATAAACAACTTCAACCTAAAGGGACCACCAAAGTAACATACAGAAAGAAAATTAAAAAGGCAGCTTTACTCCGGATATTCTAAAGCCCATTTTACTCCAAAATGTCTGATGTGCATAATAATACCTAAGCTCATCGGTACAAAACAATCACCAGTGCTGAGCAAAAAATGAAAAGAGAGAAGGGACCAACCACGAATGACAAGGCTGTATGCATGCATCTGCTTTTATCTCCTCTTCCCAAGCCAAGGCTTTGCTTAATTAGATTAGTATTTCCTAACCTAATAATGCTCTATGAGTTAATGATAGTGGAGTAAAATATTTGCCAAAATCATAGAACAGGAGATGTGATTAA